ATGTTGCTACAAAAGATACTTTTTATGTCTGCATAGTATTCCATGGTATACCACATTTTCTTTATCGAATCCACCACTGATGGGCACCAGGGTTGATTCCACGTCTCACTATTGTGAACAGTGCTGTGATAAATATATGGGGGCATGCAACTTCTTGGTAGGATGACTTCTTTGGATATACTTTTGATGGCTTCTGCCTTCTCTCTACCTCACTACTCTTTAAGCATTTGCTATCTGGCTTCTGCTTCCACCAGCCAATGAACCCTCTTCCAAAGACCATATACTAATGCTCTTTTCTTCACACTGTTCATTCATCTCACTATCATATCCTCAGTCTGCCACTCCCCTTCTTGAGTTCCTCATCCTGCTCTTCCAAATGCCGAGATGCCTTTGGCACTTGGACTTATCTCTGGCCACCTTCTCTGCATGTATCTCCTTTCTTCAAGTCTTCAGCATCTCTAGACTGGTGTGTTACTCCTGTATCTTCAGTTACTACAGCCTCTTCACCTTCAAAACCCTATGTGCTAACTGAATTAGTCATCTTTGCTGCTGTCAGCTGTCAACCTCCACTGTGGCCTACAGTGTGTTTCAAAGATGGCTCTAGTAATTATTCCCATCCCATATGTTCTTCTGCTATGTGACCCTGGCATCCCCACCAAGAGTGGCAGTCCAATCTTCCCCCCTTTAATCTGGGCTGGCTTTTAGGACTCTCGTCACCAACAGGATGTGGAAGAAGTGGCGCTGTTCAATTTTTGAGACTCGGCCGAAAAGGATCGTACAGCTTTCTCCTGGTTCTACTGGAAGGCTCCTACAGACGCTCATGTCTCTCAAACCCAGCAGCCATCCCACTGGCAGCCCAACGCATGTGAGAGGCTCGCACATGCTTTAGTCGGCAGCGCCAGATAAGCCCAGCTTTCTGGTCACATCTCCTACATGTCTGATGTGCTAGTGAGGACACCTCCTGATGACTCCAGTCCTCAGCCAGCTGAGTCACCTGCCATTTCAATGCTTCCAGCTGAGGCTCTCGACACTGTCACACAGAGAGACCATCCATCACCTCTGTGCCCTGTCCAAATTCCTGACTCCACAGAGTCCATAAGGAAGAAGTTCTATGCCACTAAGTTTGGGATGATGTGTTACATAACAGTATCTGCCATAACCAACAAAACCACCAGTTCTTCCTGGCTCCCTCTGCCTAAGACATTTGTTTCTGCACATCCATTCACACAGCCGAGAAGCATCATCATTTAAGAAATTGAGGTGAGCAGGGATATGTATGCCAGCTCTGCCAGGCTCTTCCTTCTCTAGTCCATTCTGTAGATTACTGAATTCATCTTCTTAAACCACAGGTAAAACCATGCCATCCCCTGCTATAAAGCTTTTACTAGATCTCCAATGCCTAGGGAACAAAGTCCAACCCCTTGGTCCAGCATGCAGAGACCTCTAAAATTCAGCCTAACTTCACATTCTCTGCCTTCTCTCTCATTTTCCACTGCTGATGTTCCAATCTGGTTGGATTGGTCAGCGCCCTCTAAAGATGTCTAAAATGTTTCTACACGTATGGCTCACTCATGCTGTTCACCCTGCCTCTCATAGCCATGGGTACCTCCTTTAACGCACAGCCCTGCCTCACCTGAACAACCTCAGCACTTCGCTCTCACCTCATTTCTGGCACGCCTCACCTTTGCTTGTGTGTGGACATTTGCTTTTGCATCTCACCTCTTCTACTGAACCACGACATTCATTAAAGCCTCAAACCACATCTTAACACCTGTGTTCCCAGTGCCTAACACACTGCCTTCCACATCAAAAGCATTCAGTGATTCTGTCATGGTGGAGAATATACCAGAAGGACAGACTTCGTAGGTAGGAAAAAAGTTAATGATCTACTCCAACATTTAAGAAACATGTATAGTGTGCAAGGCCATGGGAAGTAGATCAGCCCTCCTGCTCCTTTGGAAGTTCTGATAAAGCCTAACTACTTCACTGCAGGTAAAAAGAGAAGTCTGAAGGGGAATTCTGACTTTAGGGGCCTGGAGAAGAGGCTATAAAAGAACAGACACTTGCTAGTACTATCCAGCAATGCAGGGGGTTCAAAGGCGTGTGTTATGAGCCAATGTTTCTGTGGGTATGTGTTGTTGTGATAGGCCAATTATTCCTACTGACTGAGTAATATGGAGCCAAATCCCGTCATAAATGTGATGCATCTCATTCCAGGCCTTGCTTTAATGCATTGGCATTTTGAAAAGAAAATGACAGACAACTGCAGCTCGCTGCTGTGTGATAACGGTGCCATTTTCTACATCAGCCGAGATGCCATCAGAAGGGCGTAATTTAAAAGGAGAAGCCAGTAGCTACTTCCCTTCACCTGGGCAATTCCAGTTAGAAGTGTTGCAGGCACTCAATAGACACATGCTTTTGCCCCTTGAAAAAGGCCTGGGAGTCCTAGGACTGCTTAGGTTTACTCTAGTCTAGTGTCATCTGCTTAAAAAAATGCTTTATCCTCTACACCCCATCCCAGTATGTACGAAACACATCTCTCATCACTTATAAATCTTTTCATTGTTCATTCAGTTTGGAAGCTGGTATATGAAGAGCATTCCTGGAGTCATCCATACACCCTAGGAAGATAACCAAATTCAAACTCAGCAAAATCTCACAACACCAATGCCATCTTTAGAGATGTAATGCATCCCTGACGTCACAGTGCTTTTGTACTCTGGGAGGAGGGGTCTTCCTAAACACCATCTAGAGACTGGAACAGCCCAGTTCTGTAGCTCCCTGTGGCCCCAAGTATCTCAAACCCACCTCCCAGAGACAGAGAGGCACATAAGCTAGTCACAAGAACATCCGAAAGACTTAATTCTTCCTTGAAACCCAATCCTCAAGATTCAATTTTGCCATCAGTGCTTGCTCCCCCATCTTCTCCCGCCCCTTTAAGAAAGCAAGAAAACACCTTTCCCTGGAATTTGTAGAAATATATTTTTACATGAAATTTTATTTTGGTCTAACCATGCAGGAAGCTATTACCCATCCATTATCTTTATGTGCGTGATTAGGAATAATAGCTGATTTGTGAAGTTATCTATTACGGGAAATAATCAAGATTAATGAGCCCTGTGGCACTTGCTGAATGCCTCGAGAGATTTATTGCTCAGGCTGTGCATCTCTCTTGTTGTGTTGTTGGTGCTGTCAAGAGTTTTTTTTTCTTTTTTTTTTTTTTAAACAAATGCAAATGGAGACGTGGATTCATTGTGGAAAAGGAAAAATGCTCTTTCAGTGTTATCAAATATTTTGGACTGCTCAGCCCCACCTCTCTCAATGATGCTATTTTACTTTACATAACGATGTTGGAATGCTGGAGTCTAATCCCCATTCCCTATTAGACCCGGGTAGGGAGCATGCAGCTCACACCCTCTGCAGTGCAGGGAGCAGACACGACAACGCAGCTCACTTGGGGCTCCTGTCCAAAGTCAAGACACAGCCCAGGCGGAGGGAAAAATACGGTTGTTATTACTGCAAATGCCAGGGGAGTTTAAATCACCTGCTCAACTGGGGAGATGCTGTTCTCTCCTCAGTGGAGCTGCCCTATAGCTATAGGGCTTTTCCAGATGGCAGTGCAAATACACCTTCATTGTGAAAGTCTGGATTAATTCAGGACAGTGCTATGATCTACGCATTTGTGGAAATGGAGTGGCGATCCAGGATTCAAATGGTGGTACTGTCTATTTTGTTAACTGTGTGGTTAATATGACATTATAAAAACTGCTTCTGACAGAAGCCAGATGGGGAGGTGGGGACAAAAAACTCCCAATGACTGGATCCCATTTTGGGGAAGCAGATGCGGGCCCTGAACCAGACTGCCTGCTTTTGAATCCCCAATATGTAACTTTGGGCAGTTTCTGTCAACTCTCTGTGCCTCAACGGCCCATCTGGAAACTGGGAAAAGCAACACTACCAGCAACAAGGTCACTGTGATGGATCTAATGAATTAACTCACGTAAACGTGCTTAGGAGGACTTCATAAATGTTATTGTTATTACTGCCAAATAACAATTTGCCAATGAAAACATATTTGACAATCTCCTGGACTCTTCATTCACGGTGTTCCAATATGTGGGCTCAAATCTCCAGGTTCCCAGTCTTTCCAATGAACAAGGTTATGGTATAAAAGATGAATATCAAATCTGGAGCTAAAAGGCCCGGCTTCTAGACCCAGGCCAGTCACTAAGCAATGGTGTGCCGTTGACCATGGTATTTTATCACCTTGGGTCTAGTTTCTTGTCTAAAAAGAATTGGAAACTGATTTCCAATGACTTCACTGACTGTTATCTGCCAAAGCTTTAGGTCACACTTCTTTTTGTTACCTTAAGGGGAGAAACAGCATGATGATTAAATATAAAATCACGGCCATATTCTCAACATTTTACGTAAATGAAAGATAAGCCAAACAAGAGTAAATCCAAATACCAAGAATATCATCATATTATCAACTAATAAGGCCAGAATATTTATTTTAGAAATTTTCAGAAACCAAAGCCTTTGAAAAATACAGTAACAACACAACATCCCTATAGGATACGTTTAATGTGTTAGAGCCTAGAATTTCCATAATGATATTAAGAGGATCATTGGGTTTATTTAAAAGCATATATACTGATGACCATAGCAGTCTGACGATAATGACCCTCTTTGTTGAGGGATCTGTATTCTCTAGACGGCAATTTTCACATTCTCTTGGCAGATCGTAGAAAATAACATTGTGGGTTTTCTTCTTTTATTCTCTTTCTTAGGGACTCGTTACTAATTATCAGATAGAGTCTTAGATTTCCGTATCAATGGCAAATTGGCTAGTTTTTAAAGCAGTATTTTCAATTTAAAAGCAGAAATGAGTCACTGTGAATTATAACAACTGTTAATTTAAGGTCATGACTATCATTTTTCTCATTCAACTTCATCCTTGACTCTGACTGTTAATATACTATCCATCTTTCTTTAAGACCAGGTGAAATTCTAAGACATCATCTCCAGCCTTTCCGAATGATATTCACTGCTCGGCACCCCAAAGCCTTTCTATTTCTAACGCAGCATTGTGCACAGCACCCTTAACTAGGTAAGCTCACCTTCTTTCACCCCAGTAAGGACCTAAGTACAGCATCTACCTCTAACCCATGTTTGTTCAAAAATACACCCAATCTCGTGTCCATGCATTCCTCTGGCTGCCCAACAAGACCCTAAACACAGCACCTATGTCTTCATCTGCATTTGTTTCCACTACCATATTTGGCACACACTACTGACAAAGTTGACACTCAACCTAGGTTGTGCGACTGAATTATTTTACTTCTTGGGGTTACATCCAACCAGAAAACAAGAAAGTAAATTCTACCGGAGGAAAATGAATTTTCCAGGTGATAGTTTCCTTTCTTTGCCACAATATTATTTGCTCAGACCACTGGCAACCAGCATGGACTGGATCTTCACAGTGGGCTGGTAAAGGCTGTGAACCTTCGATAGTAGGGTCTGCCCGCCCCCCGCCCCCGGATTGAGGGAGCAGTAAATCGTGACTGAAACAGTCCATGCTGTGGTTGCTGAGACTGGCAGCAGGAAGCACAGAGTCAAGATGTGGTCGCTACACATCAGCCTTGGTTTCAAAGCCCTCTCCATGCATTTTCTGATTTAATTCTCCCTTATCACTAAGTGGAAATGGCATCATCATCCCCTTGGGTAAAGATGAAGACACTAGGGTGTGAAGACATTCACTGGCTTGCCCAAGTCAGTGGTGGAAGCGAGAGTCCAATTCAAGCTCTCAGACTCCCAAGTCCTTGCTCTCAACCACTCAACTCTGTGAGATGGGGCAGACAATACATGCATCACGCATTGCAGGAAAAGGGGAAATCTGGAACATGGGAAGGAGAAAACAGGTTAAAGCAGAGGGCTGAACTGAGGTTCCAGAGAGGGTGCCTGACACTACCTTAGTAAAAGCTTTCATGTAAGACCAAAGCTATTTTCTATCCTTGACAGGCTGGTTATTTGGAGCTTTGACACGCCCCTCTATGGTAGAAACATACCACCATCACCACGATACTCCTAGTCCAGTGTGCTGTGGCCTCTTCCCGTCCGTTAAACTCAATTACATTTACATTTAAGGGTTCCTTCCTAGAAGCCTTTCACCGAGCAGTCAAGAAGCTGAAGTACACATTTGCTTCCTATTATTAAGAATTCACCAGTTGGCACAGTCCCCAATAATGGGCATCTGTCAAAGTGATAATGGTCCTTTCACTCCTTTCCCCAGTTCATTTTCATTTTCCCAACAGAGGTGTCAGCTGTCAACATATTCTGTGGTATGAACAGAAGGGTCACTCTGACCCCTCACCTCACTGCCAGTCAAGATAGGATAAAAATCACAGCCAAAGGAAGCACTGTGTACTAGGATGGGACCTGGTGTTAAGATCCAGTATGAGGATGGATCATACCAACTCCTCTATGAAGGCAGAGTAGGAACACTATTCTAATATGAATGGAATTTTTTTCTCTGGTAACTATTTATTCAGCTTAGAGAGATAAGTAAAAAGTAACTTCACCTCATTCCATTCTAAATATAAGACACTCGTGATTTTTTAACAGCTAGTCAGTATATGCAAAGGGGCTGTTTCACACACGCTCTCTGAAGGACAACAAGCTCTGACCAATTTGCTCAAAGGCAGTTTCTTTCTCCATTTACAAGAAGTAACTTAAAGTCCATAGGTTTTTTTCTACCACGGATGAAGCAGTCAGGCCATAAAGCACGGTTTATTCACAGACAGCATGCTCTTCATGCCAAGAGCTCGAAGAATGTGCTTTTAATCTTAAATTTGGCAATGTGGAACACTGACTCCAGAGATCTGTAATCTGAAAATCATAGCATTTTTAGAACTGGAAGGGATCTCAGAGCTCATCTAAGTAATCCCCTCATTTTACAGATCACAGAATTGAGAGGCGCAGAAGAGGAGTGATATACATAGTTACTCTCTACTCAGAGCAAAGTAGGATCTGGAGCCATTTTTATGTCTCATAAGGACTAGGTTTTGGCCCTGTAGGCGGACCTAACACATTGCCTTGCCCAGGCCAGCCATCAGTAACTTTCTGATGAGTAAACAGCTGATTGAGCTGGAAATACAGGAAAAGAGAAAACAAACTAGTTGGAAGAGAGTTTGGAGATGATCATCAGCACACGGGCAGGTCATACAGCTCATCCTTATCACTGCAAGGAAGCCAACTTCACCCGTTGGCTGCAACTGAATGGACTCTCTTTAGGGTCCTCTGTTGGAAGGAGCTAGGGGCAGGATACCATTTTTTGCTGTTTTCTTGGAGTTTTAACAGTTTTGGATTCTGCGAGAGCCCCTGGAGGTAAAAGCAGAGATGAGGCTGTGTGAGGGGTGACAGGGTGTGTCACCTTCCTCACTCCTGCCCTCCACAGGTCTCAAGGTCCACATAGAAGCAAGAGATGCAGCCCCAAGCCCCAGGCCATGGGAACATGAACAACTCTGTGATAAACTGGCCCAAGTGACAGGCAAATCCACAAGTCTCTCCAGGGAATGAAAACTAGGCCAGGGTGACATGTTATTAGGCCCAGAATAAAGCTTAATTTATTTGATTCTCCATGAGTTAAAAATACATGGAAGAAAGCACCAATATAATGGGGACATTAGAGTCCAGGGAAAATGCATCAGCACATGATGAGTGTGTCCTCAGTGTTTCTTTAAGGGAAAGAGTATCAAGGAAGCCCTGCTGATACACACTAGAAACCCTGCCAATACTTATTTACCAGAGTGAGCAAAAGAATGTGTCAAGTATGTCAGAGAGAAAACCTATCAGTCAAAACCTCCTTGTATAAATTTTCATGTATTTCTAAATCCATCTCCCATAAGGACATGTCCAGAGGTTCCAACATGTCAATTTATTAAAATTCCCTTATTTTTTTCTATCTCATCTCTTCCAGGTTCTGGCTGGTATCAGATCCCTCGGTGCCAAAATAGTGAAGGAGGTTCCTCAAGTAGAATTTTCATCTTTCCTAAAAAAGGTGTTCTATTGGGAACATGAATGCTCTTTCCCTAATATTTTTGTTTAGTCCGTTTTTTAAACTTGAATTGTCCCAGGTATGACTTAAGAGAACCTGGATACTAGTTAAACTTGAGTTTTCAAAAAGTCCCCTTTCAATTATGGAACTGAGATTCAGACACTGAATCCTTAAGGTTTCTTTCTTCCTTCCCCTAGGCTGGTCTTTTTGCCAACCTGGGTAATAGAAAATCCCTTTGTAAAATCTTCTTCAAAAAAGTCTTACTTTCTAGGTGATGCTATTAACATAAGAACATGCCCCATTTTATAAAAGTTCTTATGTGTTAGTACAAATACACATAAGTCTTCATGTTACTAATGAATTTAAGGTTGGAATTGCCCCCTCTTCTCAAATAAGCACCATTTCAAGAATACTTTTGTTCTCTGTCTGAAATGGATGCTAAAGCAACATCTGAGAAATTCAACCAACACCTGTTTTTCAGAGGAACACCAGACTAATTCATCTCACTGAGCCCACTCAGAAACTAAGGCCAGAAGCAGGCTGAGACAGAGAGCCCTAGCCTGCCTCTAGAAACTGGCAGCTGGCTAAACTTAATTCTAATGACAACATACATGGATCAACTTGTGGTTCATACAATTTCCTTTTCATTAAGTGACTATTAGGACTTTGATTAAAATTAAAGACTGTCCCAGAAAAGCCTGTCCAGTGTCCTCCTCCATCTCTGGAATAGGAGCTTATCACAGACGTTTTAAATTAACCACCCAGATGAGGTTCTCTCTACAATACACAATGAAAAGGCCCTTCAATATCCAAATAATGCACCAATTACATTCTTACAGAATAACTGTTTGACAGAGATGAAGGTAATGGTTAATGCAGACAGAAACTTTCACATCTAACACTGGCTTTGCCTGAAATTTACAACGCCTACATATATCTAGATGTCCATGTAGTCAGTGAATCCATTTTCTGAGTAATCACAGGTAAACTGTAAACTGTGTGTTTCTCGTCTAATAGAGGAACTAATAGCCACATCCTCCTAAATAGATGTACTCGCCCATTTGCTCATTCCATGAATGTTTACTGTGAACCTAGGGTGGTCCAGGAACTGGGTGCTGACTAAGAAATTATGCATTAATGTCTATAAAAGACTTGTAAAAATACACTTCGTTTAAACAAAGAAAAAGCAAAGGGAACTAATATTAATGGGGTCTCTACTTGGATTTTTTTATGACCTCACTTGATTCTCATAATAAACCTATGTTATTTCCATTTTTTAAATGAAGAAATTGAGGTTGTGAGAGGTTAAAGGTTTTGCTCAAGGTGACCCTTGGTAGCAAAATCGGCATTTGAACTGGTGTCTGTCAAGTGCAAACCTGTTTCCACTCTACCTTACTTTCATAAATATGGCTAAAACATTTACAAACCGGAGAGCAATTCACAAAAGTTTATGATCTTGATGGTTCAGTTTCATTTTTCTTAGCGCTTTAAGTAGTAAAAATGGTCAGTAGCTAACAAATTCCTCAGTCATCTTGCTTTTTTATTACTCAATGCTGTTGCTGTTTGCACTGTACTGTGGTAACTCTGATCACATGTGATGATACTGCCAAGTGATGGCAGAAGTGGACACAAGAGGGAAAGTTGAGCGACAACTTCTCTTTCCATCTTGAATTGCTAGATTCCATGGCCTAAAAAAGCAGGGGGCGGGGCGCTGTACAATCTCACAGTGCTACGAAGAAATATCTAAGACTAATTTATTAAAAAAAAGAGGCTTACCTGACTCACAGTTCTGCACAACTGAAGAGGCCTCAGTAAACTTACAATCATGGCGGAAGGCCTCTTTCATAGGGAAGCAAGAGAGAGAATGAGTGCCAAGTGAAGGCAGAAGCCCCTTATAAAACCGTCACATCTCCTGAGAATTCACTGTCACCAGAACAGCATGGGGGAAACCCCAATCCCTAATAATTCAATCATCCTCACCTGGTCTCACCCTTGCTACCAGGCGATTACTACAATTCAAGGCGAGATTTAGGTGGGGACACAGAGCCAAACCATACCATGGGTCATGTGCTTTTTTTTGCACATTTTTGTTGAGGAGACAGCTGTACTTCAACCTAAAAGCTGGGAATCTGCTAAAACCAAGGTCTGCAAATGGGAATATAAAGTAATTTTTAAATAAGAGATCATCTAGGTGAGAGGACTTAATTTCAGCTAAGTCCTAAAAACCACATGAAATTTACATGTTTTTGAGATATCCCTCTCCTGTCACTCTGAGCAAGTTTTAGAATGTTTTCAGTTTTACCTCCAGGCCAATAAATGTAAGTTGTTTCTGTAAAACTCCAGAGACAGAAAGGAGTGAAACAGAAAAGTCGTTGTACACTTTCAGTACATGAAAGAGATACACCCCATCACACCACAACTGTACACACAGAATCCAAATAGCAACAGAAAGTGTGAGCTGCTCATGCGGTTTCATCAACTGTAAAACAGAGCTCTTTGGGTCCAACAGCATTTGCTTGCTTATTCTTTAATCACATCACATTTGTACTGAAGGAGGGACCAACATGATTCTCCAAAGCAAAGCAATGGACTCGCCCAGTAGCACCACCACTCCCAGACAGTATCCACTGGGCAGTCTAAGGTTTAGAGTCTTTCCTGCCAAGGTCAAGAATACATAATAGGTAAGAGAATACAGAGTGGCAGCCTCAGATTCTTTTATATTTTGTGCAAGCGGTGCATGGAGAAGAACCTCCCACGCTTTTGTGATCTGACATAATTATTCACTCATCCATTAAGCTTTTAATAAGTCCAGTGTTACATCTCTACCTAGCTTTTCTGAGTAGTTTGCAGGGAGTACAGACAGATTTTGGAAGACCAAGGATTTGGAGATGAATAAGGTTCTGGATGAATGAAACCAGTGACTCTAGAATTAGGTCAAGCAGTAAAATGAGGCCAAGGAAAAATACATTTAGGGACTCTTTCAACTTGGGACTGTGTTATTCTCTATGGGCACTTGTTATTACAGGTAGAACTCCTTCAGCTCTGGAACAGCAGTGAATTCATTTCCCTTGGTAATCATTTTCTGTGAGCAAAGCGTAAGTTTATGAAAGGTGAAACCCAAGAGAGAAATGTTGTTGAACTGTTTCCCATTGCATACATTCCCCCCATTCCCCACACTTCCTTTACAATAATACAAGCAAGAACAACTACACAGAAACTAGAAGAGGAATTTTCTTTTAAATAGACTGAATGTCTTAAAGAAGCTCTCAAGTATCTGTATCTATTAGACTATGGAACTGTCCTCCAAGGGAAAGCATTCAAAAAAGAAACAGATGAAACATGAAGGTCAGGGAACTCTCTCAAAGTAGCAGCAAACTGTCGGCTCCGGACTACCTACGCTGGTCACTTCCCAGCCCTCATTTATGTTTTGCATTCCCTTTTGCATGCTTTTCTCAAGGATTACCTTGGGCTTTAGTTGCAAAACTTCTAATATGCTTTTACAGGTGTTACCGTATGTCTAAATCCTGAGGTAGCAGTTCGAAAGTCAGACTACTGTCTTTGTCCTACATATTTTTCTTCTACTCACATAACAATTTCTTGAGCTATGGGACTGGAGTCCTTAAAAGTGAAATTAATTTTATGTTTATGTGCACCGTATGGTTTTGATTATGGGTGAATTGCTCATCATTCATCTGTCAAGAGGCTCACCCCTGTACCTCGAAGCATCTCACTCACAAGGCGATGGAATGTGTGATACAACGATAAATGCTAACTTTGAACCTAATTGCTTCATGGTTTCACCTTTAAGTTTTACTGAGAAAATTATGATAGGTATTTTTACAAGGCTCAGAGGATTTGTATCATCTTCCAGAAGACAGAAGCATACATATTCAAGGCTAAGTATTTGGAAGCCAGAAGTTTTTAACGCCAACAAATTGACTTCATTACTTCTGGTGTTTTGATCACACTTAGGGCATCAAGTCTCTGGGTATAAAACCTTACAATACCTTCAATGCTGGACTCATCAGAACTGACCCACTTGGGATTATTTCAGATGTTTCCACAGTCGTGTTTCTTTACTTCCCCTTTGGCTTTAAGAGATAAGCGATGGGCAATGGTGGTCATTATAAAAGCATGCCAACTTACAGCCTTTTGCTGGGGTTTGTTCTGGCGTTGGCGCACATTCCTCCCAACGTGCACACTCTGTTCTTACAACCCCTCTGTGCACTGAAAATCTGGTATTTACAATACTAACCCTAGGCACTGTGAGAACTACTGTCATTACAGAGACATTAACTTGTCTCAGAGTTAATCGTTTTTAAAAAGGCAAAGGCTTGGGAATTCACCATTTAAGGGAAGAAACTGAAGCCCAGAAAAATAAAGTGACTTGGTAAGCTGGTTATGAAGCAGTCAACGACGGAGCAAGAATTCAAAGCCAGATATTATCTGCAAGTCCAATACTTCTTTCACAGCCTCTCTAGTCTACTATAACCTACTCTTCCCAAAAGCTCCATGTTATCAATAGCCAAATTAAATACGCCACACAATTTCCCCTAGAGTCAATCCCCCGTAAGCCTAAAATTATACTACTGACTACCAAAGCCTTGATTTGCAGAGCTCAAACGAGGTGATTTAAATTTTCCTGGGGCTTAAGAAGCTGAAAAACAGACTTAAGTCCATAGATTCACCCAATGCTTCTTTGACTATAAACTTTTACTTAATGAATCCACATAATTTTAGTATGTACCAAAGGAGAGACTAAACACACAATTTCACCTAGAGCCAGTCTTCCTTTAAAAAGGCAGTGCCAGGGGCTCCATGTCATACTGGTACAAACGGAAACTGGAGTTAGCAATCAGTACTTAATTCTGGACTGTGAAGCATTCTTACAAGCTTTCACCTGAAAAAACATTCAAGCATTGACAAGTGGCCCTGGATCTGCATCTGTCCACAGATATTAAAGAAAGCAGGGCGTATTTAAAGCCCTCAGGCCACATTCATCCAGCTCTTGCTGTACAACATATCAAGCCCAGGTCCTCGAAATGCTAACACACACCCCCATAGCAACTGCTTTTCCTTTTTACTCTGTCCCTTTTTGCTTGCTGCTTAATTTGGGCTCTTTTACTATTACTTACAATGCTAAGACAAAGTTCCACATAGTAAACCTCCTTGTCCTCCAATGTTCTTTGTCAAGGAGGAGTAAAGTTGGCTTAAGCCTGGCATCTGTCCACCAGGCCAGCGCTGTTAACAAGCTTCCTCCATGTATGACCATCAATATTCCATCTGCTATTTTACCTCCTCCTTTTTCATGTCTACCTGGACTTTAAAAACCCCACAACAGATCTAACTTCCTTTTCCTTCTGAATAATTCAAAAGATACCTCGACTAATTTTCTTAACTGGTGTTTTCTCACACTAGAAAAGTATGCTGATATATAATTTTTCAAAAAACTTCTAACAAAAACAGGAAGAAAAAGGAAAGCATTTTGTTTCACTCATTCTTAGATACTGATGTTGGCAGTTCATTAGACATTTCAGTTAACGGAGATTCATCAGATTACTAGTATTTTGCCCTGATACTGGTGGTTTCATCCTGCCCACAAGGTTTCCAGCCATCATTTCATAGCACCTGCTTGCTTGGGTCGATCCTTCAGGAATCGCTCTTCCTTCCTAAGAATCCTCATGGCTGCTCATCCTCATTTCATTCCAAACACTTTATACCCCCAAGACAAGTCTCTAAGTCAATGCTACACCAACATTTACTGTGGACTCTGGACATTTAAGTTAATACATATGTTCATACCATTCATCCACTTCATTTACACAGAAGCCTTCTTTTGAATTTCTTAGAGCTCTTTGCAGATAGAATAAAACACCTTCAACATACTGGTTTTGGGAATCCAATTACCAACTCACAAACTCTGTCACATTGTGCATTTATCTATATACCAGGAGGGCTCTCCATAGCTTACTGAATAGTTAAGATTAACCTTCATTTTCTTTTTCTGTTTTAAGAAGAGGGCCGGTGAGAGAAAGGAATGCTGAAAGGGCAGGGAAGAGCATATTATGCTTTCGTTTGCTATTTAGTAGAAGAAATATCAACATGCCTTCTGATCATCCCTTACAAATGAAGAACACAGAGTGGGGCAATTCCATGCCATTAGCACTCAGCCAAGGAAGAGGAGGACAATCAAGCCACACTTGACAAGGGACAAGACCATTCACTTTTAGGGCTAAGGGGATTAGCAAAGAGCATTTTCCCATAGTGACAAGAGGAAACAAGAGAATCGAAAACATCTTTCAACTGCATTCTAAGAGGTTCTTGTTGCAGCCCAATTAGGAACCTACATGTAAACCAGCTCTATGAGAAAATAGTTTGCAAAATTTCAATATGTTGTTGAAAATGAACTTTTGACTAATTTGTTATTTAGAGACAAAATTCATTTGCTTTAGGTATTTCAACATAAGAATAGTGCACAGTTCCTATGGCTGGGAGTATGTACAAAGGAAATGGATCTTTTCCTAGGCAGAGGTTGGAATAGCTGTGTCCATGTGCTCTACAGTTGCAATGCATGATTTACACCTTTTGTGGCACTCGGAATTGCCACCATGCTCTCGGCTACACTGGACGTATTTTTTGAACCATACCTACTCTGTCTCTGCTCACACAAGTGCTGCCAATAGCACAGTCCACAGTGACAGACAGAAATGAAGGGCATCTTTTAGCAAATTTCAAAGAATAGCAGGTAATTTAGCTCATAGTGAATATTCATTAGGCAAACCAGAAAAGAGCAAACAGGCATGGGCTAGAAATCTTTCCCTTTAACTCCACACTACTTCTAAGGCAGTATTAAGGTATTTGGAAAACGGAAGGATTCAATTCAGTGATGAAATTTTTCTTCAGGATAAGCTGACATATTTTCTAAGAACAGACCTAGGCTGCAAGCCAAAGTCACTAAGTAATTTCCAATCTTTGGCTGTTTTTTAAAAATCCCTTGAGCAGCAGCAGAACAGTAACTCCCACCCTTCATGAATATATATTTTAAAAAATGTTTTAGCACCCTCATGAGATAATAGTTGAACTTTTGGTACCAGATAAGTAGGAAGAACACAAAAGGATATAAATTCAAAGCTAGTTTGAATTTGGTAATGTGTTTGGAAATTGATATTTTGCTCATCAAAAAAGCAACAGAACAAGTTGAGCAGATGTTGTAATACACACATACTCACATATACTTTACCTTATAGACAGAGCTTGCTGTGTCTAAGGATTTGGAACTTCTGATAACAACTACAGTCCCTCGAGGGACAGTGGCCTGCTTGCTAGAAATCATTTCTCTAAGGTAGGTTTTCAAATCCCAAGCTTCCAAGTTCAGTGGCCATTACAAGAATATTCTCAGTTATTTTACATTTGATAACAGTATGAAAACAATTTACAGAATTATAACCAAAACTGTGAATGTAAAGAAATTGTGAATTAAACCCTCACTCTGCTTCGCAGCACTACACAAAACACGAAGGGCATTGTGGGTTTCCAAGCCACCGCCCTGCAGCCATCAACTTACATTATCAGCACCCCAGGGAGATCTGGCCTCTTCTCCTCAGTTGATGTTAGTAAGGTCACCACTCTGTAAGAGGCCCAAGGCCATTCTGATCCTATGGTGACTGGTAACCACAGCTGGGTGAAATATAAAAGCCACTCCACTTGAAACCAAAGAGTCCACACACAAATTCTCTAAGCACAATCAATGCCTGACATATAGTAGATCCAGTAAATGTGGCTATTTTTGTAACTATCACAAGCCAGTAACTCATGACGTCTGGGTATGAACTACACGCCAGACCCTCACACCACTGCATGTTGCCAAGACTCTTGCTAAAGATCCTGACACGATTCAGTCCCTGCTGCTACTGCCATTTCTCGACTTTAAATAAACGTGTCCATATTCCTAGAAATCCTTAACTGAACAGATGAAACCATTAGGGTAGGGGGTGTTGGAGTTGGAGGGCTTACGTGCCACCAAAATAAAATAAAAACCCTTCCTAGAGGAAAATGCTACCTCATTTGAGAGCAAATTGTCAAAGCTTATGGGATAGTTTCTTCTACATGAGGGTAGTACATGAGGCCCAACAAGTAACTAGTCAGTGTTATACTCACAGATATGTGAGATGTTTCATAATTAAAGTATTATTGCTAAGATTTGGCATGTTAATATTTTGGTTAATAATTATATTAACATTACTTATATTTATAATTTTATTTCTAAAATATGTAAGTTGTATTACTAGTAGGTTGTATAATATAATTTGTGTAATAATTTCTACTGTATAACATGATAGAATTACATTAACATAGTTGTTAGTATAGCATTAACATTTTAATATAGTTATTACAAATGTTTTCTGTTATAAAAATCAGTTTTATTTCAGGGATATTTTCTTCCCATCCTCAGTTAACATACCTCCGCTTTATAATGGAAAAAGACAGGGAAATCAGTATTCATGAAACAGATATTCCTCAACTCAAGTGGCACCTGCTAACCTGAGGTGTTAGTAAACTTGACCATCACCATCTACAGACTCCATAGGGGTGGGAGATACTCCTGTGCACCTATGGCTGGGGCTGCCTTTCTATACCCTTTGTTGTAAAATCCAGGGGGAGTGAAGATCAGCTGAGGCAATAATGTCACTTTGTCCCAAAGCCCAGAATCTGGAATGTTACCCAGAGCCCCTATGTTCAAAGAACGGAGTGTGGCTGCCAGGGCCTCACAGGGGCCAGTGGTCACACTCCAGCCTCAAAGTGAGCACAAACGTTAGAGGCTCCACTATGGTCATGGTCTTAGCAACGTGCCGGAAACAAATGCCTGAGTCCTTCCAACCATTCATTGTCATCTGGGTAAAACACAATTAAACATCAAAGACTTGAGTCTCACATACTGACATCGAAATCTTTTCCTCAAGTCAAAGAAACAACTTGTCACATGCACTTAACAGAGGTTACATAAGTTAATATTAGAGAGATGCAGAGAAGGAACAAACCCTAGGAGAGAAAAATCACAACTCTCTCAAATTAGTGTCTTCCACGGGCTGAAAACTTCTATTAAATAGGGGCTTTGATCCTAAAGAAAAAAACAACAAAAAAATATTGCTCGACCTCACCTCCATCAACTTTCCTATTTCACTTGGAATGCGTTAACTCGGCCATCCACATCTTGGACAGCTTGACCATTCTGTGAAATCCTAAGGACATAACCCATAAGGCAATCTCCAAACCCATGGGGGCACCACAAAGTCAACACTTCTATTTTAATGTGGGATCAACCTGTCATGGTCACAATGCTAGTTATGACTTCCATCCATTCCGTTTTCCTTCTACACGTCACAACATTTCACCAGTGTGACCCCAATGACTCAGGACTTAACAGGGGTGAGATACGAAAGGATTCAGATGTGTTTTGTTCCTGCGTGGAGTCCCAGATAAGGAACTGAGATGATAGTAGGTGGGTGAAGGAGCAGAAACAAAATCCTGCACACATTTCCAAAGCCTCTGGGAAATAAACTGGTTTTATTATTTTCATTTCGCAGAACTACTTCCAGCAGCAAGACAGTTAAGAGACACGCTGGATGAGGCAACAGTAGGGAAGAAGGGGAGATGATCTTCAACTGGCTGTGTGCCGACTGTATGAATAAAAACAGTAACCCCCAACATCTGGGTTTTGCTAGAAAAAATCTCTCATGAAAGGCAGAGATGTTCTATCAGCTGTGATGTTATCTTTGTGTCGAAGATCAATCAGGAAACACGTAGCCTGAGTCACCTGGGTTTGAATCCCAGTCCTCCCTCTTCCTAGATGTTTGACTTTTGCAGGGAAGTGGCTTCCTCTGAACCTTAGCTCTATCATTTGTAAAATGGAGGTAACGAAACCAGCCTCATAGAGTTGTTGTTGTGAAGAAACCGAGGTAAGACAAGCTGGATGCCTGGTGCAGTAAAACTTCATGCCCCTCAGTTCATGTCCCAGCTGGAGGCTTGCTACAAAATGTAAGCTAGGCGGAACTCAAGGAAACGTAACAATTCAAAAAAATCAGGAGCTCTCAAATGTCCATGGAGATAAAAAACTAAATTACAGCAGAATTAGCCTCAGTAAATAAAACAAACAAGATTAAAATAAGCAGGTTCATTGCTGTCGTTATCTGGCCATTTGATATTACTATGTCTTTACTCTCTACTACCTTTAAATAGCCAAAGTTCTCAAAATAGGCATCTCTACTATCCCCTTTTTTCTCACCTTCCATTTCATATCAGTCTAGTTCCAATTCAGCCTATAACCTCATGACTTTACTGGAGTATCTCCCACTAAAGTTACCAAGTATCTCCATGTTGCTAAGTTCAAAACCTTTTTTTAGTTTTCCTCTCATTGCTCTCCTTAGCAGCAGCTGATGCTATGGACCCTTCCTGGAACATTCACCTCCTCTGTCTTCCTTCACATGACAGTATGTTTTCTTTCATGCCACTGTTCTTCCTCTGTTTCCTTCAGAAGTTCACTGTCTCTTCAGGCCCCAAGGCACTGTTGGTTCCAGACACTGGGACTCAGATGTTCTCACTTTATACCCCTCCCCACAGCTGCTTTCATCTTCCCTCAAGATTTTCATGACTCACGATGTTCACCTGAACTACATGCAAATGAACCTCAAGTCCACACTTCCAGCCAGAAATCTCTTGCCAGGCCCAGTCCCTTATATACAAGTGCCTGCTCAAAATCACCTCAAATGCCATCATCACTTTTAAAATCCAAGTGTGACAATGCCTGTCCTCTGCTTAATTCCCTTGCTCTCAGAATCAGGGCAGAAATCTCCGAGTGTACAGGTCCCTGGATCACGGCTGCCCACTTCCTCTCCAGCCTCACCCACTGATGGTGTTCTCTGCATTCCCACATGAACAAATCCTCTCTCCTAACCCGAGTCCTTTGCACATATTGTTCCCTCTACCTGAAATTCTCTTCCCTCCTCTTTTGCCTGAACTCACTATGTACCAAGAAAAAGGGTCATCACCAAAGGGCCCCTTTTATTCTTCTATTTGTACTTTTTGAATGAATTTAATGAATGATTTACACAAGAATGAAATGAGAGTACAAACAACATTATTGGAAACATTAGTGGTAACTTAAACAGCAAACCCAAATTTTTACTCTATTTTCCTGGCTTTGAAGCTACAGATACTCAACATAGGTAACATCCTTTGAACGCAACTAACTGCTCATCCACTGTCCGGAATGAAGCTGGAATGTATCCACCTTGCAAATGCTAACTCTAGTTCTGAAAGTAGCTCTAACCGGTTCTAGCTTATCACTACTTCCAGGTCTTTTTATAGTTGCATCATCAAAATGCAGTATCTTAACATTTGACGGCTCATAATTTTGCTGATGAAAGGACAGCCATGTTCCTGGCTTGATAATTACGAAACACTTTCATTTTTGGATTTAGTGCAGTCAATTAGAGTGACAAGCCAATGATTCTTTGCAAATTTCTACATCATATATTCCTTCTAACCACCTCTGTATACATACCTGCATTTGTCCATTTATAAACCATATGAAGTAAATTTTTGGTACACAAACATCTTAAAAGATGAAAGAATTTGTCACATGTCCTTTTAGCACAAACCGAAAGCTCCAGGTTTTTGCTGCAAAATGTTCTATGATGAAGTATTTCCTACTGAATGACTAACTGGATACAAATACCGTATTTCCTTTTTATCCTTTGAAATGTATTACTGACTCACTGATTCCTGAGTTGAGGAAAATTTATCTGGGATACCTTCATCTGAAGAATCTGAGATTTCACTTAAACAATCAATTTCACCATCATCTAGAGTCTAGAGAGTTTCTGTCTTTTGGCATTTATCTTCTGAATCATGGGGTAATCATCAGAGGTCCTGATCAGTTTCCTTTTCTTTGTTATCATGGGAGAAAATTATCAATTCTCAACTGTGTTCAACTAGAGATTTTCTAAAAATTTAGATAAAAGCATCTCCTGACTTCCTTTATAACCTTCTTGAAAGATACAAAAAACTGTGGGTCATACGGCAAGAAAACTCCAAGATAAAACAACATTTCAGTATTGCATCAGCCTTAGAGTAGATCCCATCACTCTTTGCTTTTCTAACTTTTATTTTAGTATGGTTGGGAATTGATAAGCATGAATGAACAAATTTCTCAGATGATCAGACAGGAAAATGTTTCAAGACACAGAAAAAATGAGATCACTAAGATGTCAAAATGTGTCTTAAATGTACAAAAGGTCCAAAAGAACAATGTGGTAATGCTAAGACAGAATGAGTTGTTCTCTGCCCTAAAAGAAATAATGTTCTGTTTTTCCCTTGTAAGACCTCTAGGAAAGATTAAATTCATCCAACAGCAATCCTTAAAAGCACTTAAGGCATCTCAAAAAAAGAAACTCCAAAATTAAAATGGGGTTCAAGGGACCCTGATGTTATACTGAGGGCTGCATGCACTCCTTGCCTTTAAGATACTGGTGTTACTGCTACCTTTTCAGGGAAGGTTTTCTGGATCCCCCTGATTTGGTCAAATTTGCCTATTACACCATTTCATAACATCATTTTCTTCTCTCTCACAGCACTAACACAGTTGCAATTTGACATTTATTGGTCTGATTAGTGTGAGTATTTGGTCAATGTCCGCTCTCCCACTAACCTTTAAAGATCATGAGCATAGAGACTGTGTTTCCCCAGCATCTGGAATCAGGCATGGCACACAGTAGGTTCTCAATAGGGACCTTGGGGAAATGAGTCTAAATTCAGTTCTATCTCCACACTACGTGAAATAACTGTCATAATGGGTAAGAATTGCCCGCTATGACTTTACGATTTTTTCCTAAGAGACTGTTACATGTTTTCATCCTCCCCACATTCCCTGCTGTGTGACCCCTGACAACAGTGAAGGAAATATTTACTAAGTACCTACTGGGGTCAGAGGATCTATGTTTAATGTTAGGTTTTACTTCTCAAAATCCTGCAAACTGAATGTTCCCATTTTCACTTTACAGACGGGAAACTGGGATTTAGAAGGTTAAATAACTTGCCCAAGGTCTCAGAACCAATAAATAGGAAAAGAGATTTAAATGCATGCCTGATCTGACTCTAACCTGTGTTCTTTGTACACTACCCACTGAAACACACAAGGGAAGCATGTTCTATTTCTTTTACAACTACCCAGAACACAGAGTCTCTTGCTCGGGAAACAGTGGGCCCTAAGAGGTGTTGTCTAAGGAGCTATGATCCAATGTAAATCAATATTTAGATTTGGTTTGTCTTGCATCAGTTGTTTTCTTCCTAAAAAGCTTGTACTGTCCTTGCCTTGTGTGTGGAGTCTTATTTAAAAGTAGAATTTATGTCACACAGGCACTTAGAGGCATTCTCATTTTCCTTGGAAAACAGGAAGTCAGCTCCAATATATTAGTAAGAGCAGTGCGCTATCGATATTACATATTTGCAAGAAAGTTTTACTTAGCAAAATCAGAAAGAAAGTTCCCCAATGGAGGACTTGCACGTCAAAAACGTACTTGCACTGGCTATTAGAACGCCTGTTGCCATAAAATATCATGACTTTAAGTAAGCCCAGTGTTTTTCATCTGTCAAATATGTACACATTTATGTACTCTCATAAGAGGTTATAATGACTTCCTCCTCAGAACTTATTTCACTTCATACATTTCTATTAGAAGCTGAAGTTCCTCCTTTCAAAATCCAACAGGAAATTCATGAGATGACATCATTAAAAGCCATAAAAAAAAGCTAGAGTGACATTAAATGACTAATAACTGGATGTTGGAGGGAAATGAGAGTGAAGTGAAAGTTGCCAATTCAGGTCCCTCATCATAATTTCTACCTGTAGGCAAGAGTTCTATCATGCCACATGACAGTAACTACAGACCCAAGCACGGTGTCACCCTGACTGTGCTGTTTTCAACCCAGAGCACCTACACCAGTGGTCTCCGTGGGTAGGGAGGAGAGGCAGCAGGAGCTGGCATTCTTGCTTCAATATACACATGCAAGTCTCCTAGCTCCTCCCACATCCCGGCAAAGAGCAAACCCTGCTGTAAGTGGGAGATCCACTGCCTGGGCCCGAATACTGACTCTGCCCTTGAGTGACTCAAGCTCTCAGAGTCTCAGTCTCCTCACCTATAAAATGACGGTTTAAAGCTGTTGCGTACAGTTTACAGCTGTTGTGAAGGGTCACAGGGTTAATCAATGTACAGTGATTGACAGCATACCCACCATAGCAAGTATGAGCTATTGTTGCTATAATTTTCAGAGAGGGGGGAAAAAAGGAAGGAGTGTATAGTTTCAGAAAAAAATATGAAGTTTAAGAAAAAAAAAATAGTTACCAAACACCTGATGAATGCCAGGGCACACAATGAAGCCAGCTCATTCCTCTGCTCAAATCCCTCCAAAGCTTTACTCCCAGTGTCATGGAAAGCCAACTCCTTCCAAGGCCCTGTGTGGCCAGGACCCCACTTCCTGTGGCCTTATCTCTTTTCTGCCTCCTCCCCACTCCCTCTGCAGCAGCACACTGGCCTTCAGTTTTCTCCAACATCCCAGGTACACTCCTTCTTTACCAGGCACTTCCAGTGCACCTACCTTCTGCCTGGACTGCTCTATCCCTCATAAGCACATGGCCGAATCCCTCAGCAGCTTCCTGGTTTAATTTCAATTGCTCCTTCTGGATAAAGCCCACCCTGATATCCTATTTAAAACAGCAACCTTCCCTCTGCCCTGCTCTATTCCTACCACACCACACTCCTGTCCCCCACCCGACCATGGTATCTTCTAAGTAGGTTGTTTTATTTATAGCATCTGTAGTCCTCACTAGAGTGCACACTCAGCAAGGGTGGGGGGCGGGATTTGTCTGCCTTGTTCACTGATGCTCCATAAACATGTGTAGAATGAATAAAGCCTGTACTTCTTATTTTAGATTTAAGTTTTTCCCTATTGGTTCAAAGAGAAAAACCACATCCTTGGGTTTTCCCCTCTCATTTTGACATGGATAAATCAAAAACAGTGACTGGAGCTCCTTATGATTCTAATGATCCAAGAAACCTCTAACCATCACACTAGATGGTTCACTGGATAGCAAACTAATTTGTATATTGCATTTATTTCTACCCTTCTCTTT